CTGAAGCACTTAAGAAATAGACATTTCAGTTGTAAATTACAAGCCTTGATTTGGGTGGGATGAGACATTTTCCCTGTTCCCCTTAGTTTGCTTGGTGAACATGGTGAATTTGCCACTCTTTATCTCTCCTTGTAGGGACCGAAGCAATATCCCTTCAATGACCTGTATTTGGAGAGAGGAGGAGACCCCAGTAAAGAGCCACCAGTGGTGACACACTATGAAATCTGAACATTGCTACGTTCCTCCTGTGTCAGCTCTGCTGGGGATGGCATCTTCTCTAGTCTTTAATGTGGTAGATGTTAACGCTTGTTCTTCAATGTTCAACCACTACCTGCAGTGAAATACATCAATGATACTTACTATGCTAGTTGTCTTCTGTTGGTTTGAGAGGGCTGAACAATGGTCAGTGGCATTGAATGACCTCTGACATTTTTCTACACAGGTTAGTATCTGTGGGGCAAAGTTCTGAGTGCAGTCCTGGCACTGCTGCTGGTTTATGTACCTTGTGCACAAACATTTCTTAGCTAAGCCTGTTTATGTAGGAGATACATAATTTTATTAAGCTCCTAGATTTGTTTTCCAGTTACACTCTTCCCTTAAGATATTTTTTCCCCTTAATGCTAGAGGGAACAGTACATTCAGTATTTACAGTGAAAGCTTTCTCAGCTCCCCTGTGTTGTGCCTTGGACCTCACTGTTTTGCTGCAGGAGTGGATGATCACAGGAGGTGAAGGGCATGGGCTCTTCTGGGTGCTTCCTATAGATTGGATGCTGAGCTATCAATGCCCTGTCGTGACTCACAGATTTGTGCTTAAGAGAAGCAGGTATTTGAAGGCAGTGATTCATGATTTTTCAATATATAAGGATTTTTAACCCCAGATTCTGAAGGACAGAGCTTCATCTATGTGTAGGGCTTTCTTTACGGGTGTATGTTCAAGGGACTTTGAATGCTAGGACATAGAAGTATGTATGTGTAAGTAAAACTAAGCCTTTTGGAGGTGCTGAACAGTCACCATTCCTCCTGGCTTCTGTAAGGTGTCACCTTCTCTTCTAGTTACAGCAAGGCTTACTTTTAAATTACAGACAATTATATTTTACCCCAGAAGAGTTTTTAAAGTATTTTTAGAGCTGTGGGGACCTAGAAACTGAGTTCTGTTACAAAGTGTTATGTGGGGAAAAACATAGCTCAGTGATAACTTGATGGCAGTTACGTGACAGCACTATATACAATGCTGAGTGAGTTCTGGGAGTCTACAAGTGAAATAAAATTATCAGAGCAGTAATAGGAACCTTGTCGTGGTGTCTGTAAGGTGGTAGTGCAGCAGCTGTGCAGAGGCAGGTTATGTGCAGTGCACCACAGGCTGCCCTGCCCCAGCCTGGGTTGCTGCTTCTTCCTTGGGGAAGTCTCACTCCCAGTCTGTGTCTAACTTGTAACTTAATGATCTTTTTCTTCATGGGGAAGGCATAATGGGTTGGGTAGAAAATGTGGCTCAGGAATCCTTAAAAATGACGTTTGTAGTGCAAGCAAATTTCCTCTTTTTTTTTTTTTTTTTTTTTTTTTTCCTTCCTACATCAGAAAATGCCTTTAGGAACCCTCCCTAAGCTCCTTTCCCTCCCGGGTGCTCTCTCAGGAAGGTTTATCACTCTGCTGAGGCAAAGCTTTTTCCCAGGGAGGTGACTTCAGAGGCAGCCGCCCCTGGATGCAGCCGCGGTGTCCGCTGTGCTGCAGGACG